TGATTTGCTAATTAACTCATTAAGTGTTCTGATAGTCTTGGGATTTCCTTCTACCTATAACTTAAAATTGTTTTCAACTTTAGTGTGTGTAGGAGTAACACAAAGGGCTAAACATGGGTATTCCAGGACCCCATCACAATTTTGATTTGTTAAAATTTGGGGGAAGGCCTTGAAATCTGCATTTTAACAAACCTTAGCTGAGATTCAGATTAGGTAAACTGTAGCCCACAGCTGGAGAAAGAAACACAGCAGTAGACCAATTTCTAAGGGTGAACTCTGAATGTGAATGTATACCTTTATTTTGGAGTGGTTGGTTGGAAATAACATACGCTCTCATACATGGCTTTTTTTTTTTTTTTTTTGAGGCGGAGTCTGGCTCTGTCACTCAGGTTGGAGTGCAGTAGTGCATTCTTGGCTCACTGCAACCTCTGCCTCCCGAGTTCAAGTGATTCTTTTGTCTCATCCTCCCAAGTAACTGGGATTACAGGCATGCACCACCATGCCTGGCTGTTTTTTTTTTTTTTTTTTTGTATTTTTAGGATTAGCACGAAATCTTACCATATTCCTGTGTCTGGCAGCACAGAGGAAGGATAGAAAAACAGTTCCTGTTGCTGGGAAAATCCCCATTTCCTCATATTTAAAATGAGAGTTGGACTAAATGCTGTCTACATTCCTCTGTAGTTCCAATACTTTCAATATGTATCTGACGCCTGGCAAATATTTCTTGAAAACTGTGACTCATGTATTGGCTAGTGTGGTGGATGGAATGTGCCTGGGAAAAATAGAAAGGAGGCTTCAGGCCATAAAATCAGTTAAGAAGTTTCCTAAGACTCCCCTCCCTGCCCTCACTCTTCAGTCACAAGGTAGGGACCCTTGCATGGCAATTAGATATATGAACTCCATGTTCAAATGAAAAAGATTTTATCTTACCTTTGAAAAGCTTTTTAAGCAACCGTCTACATATCATTATCAGTCATTAGACGTATTTGTTGCCAAGCTGCCATCTCTGTGTTGATGGCTGATTAGTATACATAAAAACCATGCTTAGAATAAATTTTAATAATTCTGTTACCAACAACATAAACACAACCAACATCATTTGTGTTACCAATAATTTAATTCAGAAGGTTCCCATTTGACTGTTAGGTAATCAGCTAATTTCTTTGCTTGGTGCTGTTGTAATCATTTTTTGTTTTTTGTTTAACATATGAGGCAGGGACTGTGACATTAAGTCACATAAAACAATAATGGGCTGTTGAATACTGAAAACTCTATTGGAGGAGTCATGCCTTACTTTATTTTACATGATGTAAGTGGACTAAAAATAATCTGTTGATTGAGAGTTGATTCTAGTCACAAACATGTACTTTATTTTTAAAAAGTGTATTGCTTAGTAAAAGACATTTGCAAATAGTTGTAGCAAAGACTATGAATATAAGACAGAGTTTCCTAATTCATATACTTTCTCAATTGTGTACTACATCAACTGCTAGATGTTGCTCTCAGCACTAGACAGAGAAATGGGGGGGGAAATGCCAGTTGAAGTTTCTATTCTCATGGGGTTTCATACTAAGGGGTTAGAAAGACATGAATAAGGAAATAAATATGTAATATAACAAATGCTAAGTAGAAAATAAAATAGGGTAGGGGACAAAAGGTGGAGATAATGTTATACTGATTTGTCAAAGGAGTCATTCTAATAAGGTGACAATTGTGCAGAGACCTGATAAAGAATGAGCTATAAAAATATTAGGGAAAGTGAGTTCCAGGTAGTAGCAATGGCAACCAAAATATCTGAAATATTCTAAAAAGTACAGTATGAATTTGAAGAACTTAGAACCTGGGCTTTTTGAAAATTTTTGGAGGATCTCCTACAGCATAAGTTCTCCTTTTTCTATTAAGCCTCTCTGACCACTCAAATGCTACGGACCTCCTGTTCCCATGAACTTCTATAGAATTATAGGCTTGTAATTTAACACAACTAAATACTATTTTTGTCTTGTTTTGAGGGGTAGTGTGGGGTTAGTCTAATTTTCTTAGTTGCATTGCAAATTTATGAACAAAGAACATAGTTTGTGCTATTTCTGACAACAAAACTTCTAGCCTTTGTGTCCTGGTGTTGAACATATGTTAGATCCTTAATAAAAGTTATTTGATTACCCAAACACTGTACAAGCAAAACTATGTGCAATGTAAAGTTTCTTAATAGGAAATGTTTCCTTGTCAAGATCCTATAGGTGTGGCATGGAATTGCTGTTAGGGTCAAGTACTTTTATTTGCAACGAATGCACCCACCCCTTAGATATACAAAAGCCAACTAAAAAGGAGAAAAATATAACAAATGAGGAGATATATTAAAAGACTTTATTCACAATAGAGAAATTTTACAAATATAATTTTTAAAAATTATGTGTCAATCTATTGTTTCCCATAACATTGGAGATTTATATATAAAGTTGAAAATGACAGAATGGATTTATGTAAAAATCAAAAACAATGTACACAATGTATAGCTCATGTGAAAACATCATGACAAGTCACTGAGTTCTGTAAACTGCCATACAACTTACATGTGTAATATTAATTGCACAAAGTATATCAAGACATATTGAAGAAACACAAAATTAAGTGCTACTTTAACTGTTCATTTTTCAGTATGTGAATACATATATAAATTTAACTGCACAGTTTTGTTGAAAATAAGTTTCTACTTAAAGACTTCAGTTGTTAAAATTAACCCAAAATATAACTTTAATTAAATTACATCACTATAATATTACTCTCTTATCTTGTTTACATTTTTGGTGTTTTGGGACTTTTGTTAAAAAAAATCCAAGTTCTAGAATTGCAAAAACTTCATTGTTGCCACTGAGAGAGCAACATATAGTACAGCTTCTTGTCTATTCACACCAGGACACCAAGGTACCTTACAGTGCAGTGTGTACACACAACCTGATTTTAATACTGTATCTGCTGCAGAAATACTTATCAACTTTGTGCTCTTTCAAATCAAACTGAAAAGAAAATGAGTTAATTTAAATGGCAAGTTCAAGGACATTTATACAAACATTATAATCTTAATACATATGGCCCAATTTTGGCAATAATTTTTAATATTTTGCTTTAAAGTCCTGGGAACAAAGGGCTCTTGCTATCCATTTATTTCATTAGGTGAACTGAAGACATGAGTGGGAGAAATTATTCTGGATCACAGAGACACATTACCATGGAAATGATGATGTATGGAAGAGTCTTTTGCATTTACTAATTTTACTAGTTTATTCTCTGACATACACCAATGTATGATACTGAAAAACAGAAAGCAGGTCATAAAGGTGGTTCTGTCAGATAAAGGCAATCTTTTAAAACACTTTCAAATGCTAAAATAACTAAAACTATTAAGCCTATAGCTAAGAAAATAATTGTCTTCAGTAATATTAGGTGGAATCATATGAAACTGTGGACAGTTTTTAAACTACAAATGCAGCAATTTCATATGCTTCAGCCTAATCCATGGGGTTGTACTGATCTTTCTGACCATTCTCAGCTGAAAATTCACATGGTCAAAGTCTTTGCACTTTAGTATATGCATCATATTAGCCCTTTCATGGAAGTATCTCTATCCACATAAATATATATGCATATATAGCGAGCCAGTGTGAGCAAACACAAGGTGTCACCAAATCTATTCTTGAGAAAACCATTCCTATTTCAAACTTAATGTTTAAAAGAATCAGATATTGATTTTTATCTACTCCAGGACTGTGGGGGATTGGGAGTGGCCGTTTCTTTATATTTCTTCTAAGTTGTGATCTCTATGTTGAATATAACCATACTAAATATGCTATATTCTTATTTGGCCTAAAATTTATTAGATTTTCCTTGATTGATCATGAATAAGCAAAATTGGCAAAGCTTCCTTCAGAGCCAAATCCTGCTTTCACAAACTGAAAGGAAATAATTTACTACATTTGAGATAGAGCCTTTTTCAAATCTGAGAAATCTGAACCAAACAGAATGCTTTATTTTCCCAAGGAAAAAAATCAAGATGAAATACAAACAAATGGAACTAAAAGCCACATGAAATACCCTCTCTTGGCCGGGCGTGGTGGCTCAAGCCTGTAATCCCAGCACTTTGGGAGGCCAAGGTGGGTGGATCACGAGGTCAGGAGATTGAGACCATCCTGGCTAACACGGTGAAACCCAGTCCCATCTCTACTAAAAACACAAAAAATTAGCCGGGCGTGGTGGTGGGCACCTATAGTCCCAGCTACTTGGGAGTCTGAGGCAGGAGAATGGCATGAACCCAGGGGGCGGAGGTTGTAGTGAGCCGAGATAGCGCCACTGCACTCCAGTCTGGGCGACAGAGCAAGACTCCGTCTCAAAAAAAAAAAAAAAAGGAAATGCCCTCTCTTTAGAGAGACCCAATTTCTTCATATATTCAGTTAAACACAAAAGCTAATCCATTAAATTATACTATTTTCTTTAGAAAAATGTAATTCAGTGATAGCAGAGCTCTGCAAAATTTGAGAGCTCACCTCTCTGTGTAGTAGGGAATGGAAGAAATTAACCAGTATATAATTCAGAATTGACACAGGGCAGTAAAGTAAAATTAAAGGACACATTTACAAAATAGAAAACACTAATATAATTAACCAACAAAAATACACTGCAGTTCCGATGAAATGAGGTCAACATGAGATGATCCTTTTGGAATGACTTTCTAATTTGAATTATAATGTGAGTGAAGTATTTTAGAAGACATTCTATCAAATAATGATAGACCTGCATAAAGAGGCTGTCACAGTTAGAAGATCTGTCTCTGGTGGACAGACAAACCAGATTAACATGAAATTGAAAAGGAAAAAGCTTTTTTATACTTATTATTATGGCTTTTTGCAACATGGCAAAACATTACAGCTTAAAGCAGACATCATCTCCTCTTAGAGGAGGAAAAAGTTTTGCAGTCAAATCAAATTGTAATTAAGAGGTCATTGCTATACCATTCTACTCAGTTTAATAAAAATGGTATTACACCTTCATGAACTCCAGAGATAATAGGTTACTTAAAAACAAACAAAAAACTGGTGGATACACTGGCTGAATAATAAAGGATACGATAAGGAATTTAGGTCCACCTATACTTATGATAATAAACATAAAAGACTGCAAAACAATTTAAGACCTTAATCACAGACCTACAAATCAAAGTTCATCATGTGCCTGATTACCAGGAAAGGAATTATTAAGGTATGCAGTGAAGGGAATGGAGCAGAGTAAAAGATAAAATGTCTTTTTATTCCTCTCTGATTTCAACTTCCTTTTTTTCTTTACGGAGGATAGGGAGAAGATGTGCCTCGCTATTGAAGATCCAATGCTCCAGTGGAAGAAGATCATCGTCAGAAAATATTAGGTACAAATATCTGGTGAGAGAAACATAAGTATTTGAGGCCCAAGGGCAGGCAGTGAAACCACAAACACACAGCAAAAACCACATCAGTGTCTCCATTCATCTTACCGAGAAACATGGACAAGAGTCAAATATATCAACAAAACCCTGAGGGGTTATACTCACTAACGTGGGGTAAAGAAGCTACTCAGTGCTTTGGTGTTGGCAGTACCAAGTCACTGAACCTAGTTATTGAGAATACGCCTGCAATTATAGCCACGCCTGATATTCTGAATCAGTCACACTGGATATTACTTCAATGTGTTCATGATAAAAGACATCTACAAAGATCTGTCCAGGTACCTTAGCCACATGGTTTTAGAATAATTTTTACCTACTTCAATGTCTCTGCCAGGAAGAAACTCTGCTGCACATCATCATAACTCTCATGAAGAAGGTAAACATCCCTTAGGCCTGAATAGCCTCCATTCACTCTGCAATGGTTTTCCAAGGCCTAAATTACAAAGAGGAGGGGGAAAAAAAAATGGTCACATTTTAATAAGCTGATTGTCACTAATTTTTATTATTAGACTGTCAAGTTCAGATAAAACTTTTTATTTTTTATTTTTTTGAGACAGGGCCTCACTCTGTTGCCTGGGCGGAGTATAGTGGTACCATCATTGTTCACTGCAGCCTCTACCTCTTGGACTCAGGTGATTCTCCTGCCTCAGCTTCCCAAGTAGCTGGGACCACAGGCATGCATGCCTGGCTAATTTTTTGTAGAGATGGGGTTTTGCCATGTTGCCCAGGCTTGTCTCAAACTCCTGGGCTCAAGCGATCTGCTTGCCTCAGCTTCCCAAAGAGTTGGAATTACAGGCATGAGCCACTGTGCCCAGCCAAAATTTATTTTTTACAAATTGGATTCAAATTAAATCAAAGTTTGTTAGAGTTTTAGGTAAAAAAAAATTAAAACCATAAACTAAATGTAAATCAAAAATGAAGTCACAGAACATATGGACAACATATCTTACCTAATTTGAAACACTTCTGCCTTTAGTTTTGGAAAAATTTTTCACTGATTTTTACCAATTCCTCCTATGGTCTAGAGCAGGGTTTAGCAAAGTATGAACTATAGGCTAAATCCAGTCCACTGTTTATTTTTGTAAATAAACTTTTATTAAACCACAGCCATGTTGTTTAAATATTGTCTGTGGCTGTTTTTATACTACAATGACAGATCTAAGTAGATGCAAAAGAGACTGGCTGGCTGTCCCCCAAGCCTGATATTGTCTGGCCCTTAACAGAAAGAGTTTGCTGACCCCTAGTTTGGAGAGATTGCTAATGTCAACTGGGATCATAAACCACTGGTTGAGAAACTGTACTGGAACAAAATCAGCTGCTACTATAATCGGAATATCTGAGTTTTTGAAAATTGATTGTAGGGTACTAATCAGTGATACTGGTAACAGAGCTGAAAGAAGAAAATGAAAGACAGTGAGAGACATGTGACTGGGATCTATTCCTAAAATACATTTTTTATTTTTAAGTCTAGTATGGAAGAAGATGGGATGACTCCACTGACAACTCTCTAGAGAGAAATGATCCTACATTTCTGTAGTTGTCTGAATTTAATGAATATTTGGAAAACAGATGGGTTGGGCAGTGTGAGGATGAACATTTAGGTAACAACCTAAACCAACCTGCCTTCCACTTTGTTGGTTACCACTAAGATGGCTGCTGTTTGTGTTTTCTTTTCCCCTTCCAGAGCCCACTTTCTTTCTTTTGTTTGTTTCTATTTTTCTTTAACCTTTTTCCAGCTTTACCAATGTATGACAAATACAAATAGGATATACTGGAAGGTGTACAATGTGATGTTTTGAGATACACTTCTTCTGTGGATATACGCCATCTGCTGTGGTGGATATACATCATCTTCTGATGTGGATATACATCATCTTCTGTGGATATACACCAAGAATTAGGATTGCTGGATCGTATGGTAGCTCTATTTTTAATTTTTTGAGAAACCTCCATACTGTTTTCTACAATGGCTATATCAATTTTCACTGCCACCAACAGTGTACAAAGATTCCCTTTACTCTGCATCCTCACCAAGACTGATTATCTCTTGAATTTTTGATAACAGCCATTTAAAAAGGTATGAGGTGATATCTCACTGTGGTTCTGATTTGCATTTCCCTGATGATTTGTGATGTTGAGCATCTTTTCATTACTGGCCATCCGTACGTCGTCTTTGGAAAAATGTCTCTTCAGGTCCTTTGCCTATTTTAAAATCAGGTTGTTTTTCTGCTACTGAATTGTAAGTTCCTTAATATTTGGGATAGTAACCCCTTATCAGATATATGGTTTGCACACATTTTTGTTGTGTTTCGTTTAGTTGATTGTTTTCCTTTGCTGTAAGGAAACGTTTTAGTTGGATGTAGTTTCATGTGTTTATGTTTGCTTTTGTTGCCTGTGTTTTTGGGTCAAAGCCCAAAAATCATTGTCAAGCTCAGCGTCAAGGAGCTTTTCCCTCATTGTTTTCTCCTAGGAGTTTTATGGTTTTCGGTCTTATATTTAAGTCTTTAATTCATTTTGAGTTGTTTTTTTTTGTGCTGTTTATATTTTGAAATTACATTTGCTGCTCTGCTAGTTACCAGGCATATTCATTTCTAGGGAAGTTATTTTCTGCTCATCACATCCTACTAATCCTATTAATTATATGGTCAAATAAAAATTTCCATTGTACAAAAATTGCCATCTGTAATCTGGTTCTAATTTATTGACTATAGACAAAAATAATAAAGTTTAAGACTAAAACCCTAATATATTTTATAGTGAAATAAAGAAAATATAAACAAGATATACTTACTCTTAGTTTCTCACGTCATTTTTCACTTTTTAGTTTTCCCCTGTGGATCATAGTTCTGTCCCCTTTTTTTTTTTTTACATGTACAATTGTACCCCATTTTTGTCCCATTTAATCCAACTACCAAGAAGATGGAAAGCATAGACCTTGCCTTATTACTTGAGAAAAGTCTTCTCTGGCTAGAAAGGATTTTGGAGGAAAATGAGGCTCTAAGAATGTAGAGCCCAGAAAAGAGGCGAGGGAAAGTAAAAACCAGCCATGGATTCCCACGAGCAGAGACGCTGCACTGAGAGCTCAGCTCCCACCTGCAGATACTGATAATGAGAGGTTATTGATTTTCCACCTCAGGGCTGGAGGGCAGAAGGGAGAGAGCAGAGACGATGAGGAGAAGAATTTAATTACCTGGCTAAAGAAAATCTGACCAGAAGGCCACATGAATAAAGAAAATAAAGAAAATACCTCATGATTTCACACTTTTAAAAAGCCCCCAAGAAAATAAGACCAATCACCTTAAAAACAGATGCTTCGATTAAATTCTAAGTTCCAGACAGTGCATCAAATGGAGGAGGAGCGTGAAGAAACTTTCAAGTCCTATTATTTTTTCTTTCCTCCTTTTTCTTTGACAAAAACTCAAATACCAGATACGTAGAGTAAGCCAAAAATTATTGGTTAAAAAAAGGAAAAAAAAAATCAGAATTTATGAAAAATGGGCAAGCTTTTTATGGGAAACCCCATTTCCAGATATTTCTTTAAACAGATTTTAATCCCAAAACCTGTGTTCCCTTGAGGTTTTTTGGTGATGAGCTAATGATAGGGCCAGCCATGATAAATAGCCACTCCCCCTGCCCATGGAAACTGCTCTAAGCTCCTTCTTTTGTTAGAGGAGTTGCTTTTGGGGTGGACAATGCCTAATCACCTTTCTTTCTAGTTCACCCTCTCATTCTTGTTCCCCACAAGTCCTCCTGAGGTAAGCTATAGTATTCATGAACACCGTCAAAAATTTTGAGTGCTGGGCCAAGTTCCAGCTTGAGACTCCCCTTATCAGTGGCCCCAGAGGCTCCGTGTCCCAGGCAGCGTCTTCCTTCTCAACATGCGGTTGTAAGTGAGAATGAAACAAAATGAAGAAATGCTTAGACAATAACAAGGGCTTCCAGAGGTTTAGAGAGGCCCAGCCACTTTCAGTTTTTAAAGTTTTTGGTAAATTAAAAAAAAAAAAATTTTTTTTTAAGGAAAAGCACCAAAGAACCACCCCTCTCCCCTTACGCAAAAGTCTAGATTTTAAGACTTTAGGAATGTGAAGCCAGGGACAAGTAGCTTTCCTGGGCCCTTACAACAGCCCTGATTCTATCAGCATCTCAACAGTGGAAGTTGTCACGTGTTTGTGTGGCTAAGTCTAACCAGATCATCATTGTACTACAATCTGTTCTTGGGACTCTCAGCCTCGAGGCATAGGGACCACCTTGGTTTTGAGTAAATTATTAGTAATTGTTAGTAATTATTATTAGTGATCCTATGTGACTGGGATGTGCTAATAGCAGAGAACAGGATACAAGAATGTTTATAGTGACTGGAGCTCTAAACAAGGGATGAAGGATAAGAAAATAGCAAGCATTATGAGTTAAATCCTAAGTCAGAGGACAGAAGAGTATTCTCTTGTCTACCGGATACATAAACGGCTGATCCACGGAGTAAGGCTGTCTGCGTGAATGTGGTCTGAACTCAAGGGTAGAACACAGAGAATCAGGCACCTTGAACAAATCAAAGAGGGTTTGGAAACAGGATGAAGCCTGAGGAGGCAGGAGTAGGAAGGAAGAAGAGAAGTCACTTTCTGAGAGTCGAAATGACTGAGTGGAAAAAGTTAGGTTTAGAAGAGCAAAGAAAAATGTCTGTGCAAAAAAACAAAGCCAAAAAACCTGAAATTACCAAAAAAACCCCGTGAAGCCAAAAAAATCGCAAATCCCTATGTAAGGCTTTACCCTCTACCGTAGATCAGCTAAGATATTATATAATCTGTGAATATATACATATAATTAATATTCCGATAAAGCTCATGCTGTAAGTTATCAGATGTTTTACTGGAAGGAATTTGTCAGTTTCTCATTTCTTTTTTTTTTTTAAATTTCAAGAGGGTCTCGCTCTGTTGCTCAGGCTGGGGTGCAGCGGTGCAATCTTAGCTCAACATAACCTCGAACTCCTGGGCTCAAGTGGTCCTCCCTCCTCAGCCTCCTGAGTAGCTAGGGACTATAGGAGTGTGCCACCATGATCAGCTATTTTTTTTTTTTATGGGTATGAATTGGTATTTTATTGTGCTTTTGATTTGCATTTCCTTGATGACAAATGATATTAAGCATCCTTCCATGTACTTCTTGGCAATTATATGGCTTTTGAGTGAACAGTTATTCAGATGCTGGGGTGGTGTGGGGGCTGGAGTGGCTGGAGATGTTGGTCAAAGGATATAAAATTTCACTTAAGAGCAGTAAGTTCAAGAAATCTATTGTACAATGTAGTGATGATAGTTACCAGTTAATAACAATATATGGTAATCTTAAAAAATGGGGCCATAGACCAAAAAAAAAAAAAAAA